ATGACATTGAATCATTTATCACATAATTGACTAATACTTAAGAGATTATGCTTTAATCCATTCATATATAAAACATTTTTAATTTGTATGGAAGAGGTATTACCTATGGTACCTATAACTTCAATGTGACCTTTTGAATTATCACCAAAAGTCACTTATCCTCTATTTTTGGTGTTAAGCTCTATGAACCGGCTTTTGTCTTCGGTCACGTGTCTTGAGCATCCACTATCAAGGTACCATGAGTTTGAATTTATTTCTCGTGCCTTGTAGCAATGCTCATTTCCTACAAACATAGATTAATTTCTAATTTTTGGTACCCAAATTCTTTTGGGCCAATATTCATTAGTTTCCAAAATCCTAGTCCCCTTAGATATCCATTTGTGTAGGATATCCTTATCTTTAGTAGTAACGAGTCCTTTAGGAACCCATATACTTCTAACGATTTTTCCATTAGAGGTTCTTCGGGGACCTCTATGATTGTAGTTTTTAAAACTTTTTCTAACAAAGTTGGATTTTGAATTTTCTCCATTTTCAAAATGTTTTGTTCCAATTTTATCAAAAGAAGCTTTAAGATCATCAATTTTCTTTTGATGATCATCATTAACCTTTGAAAGTAAATTTTCCAAATCTAAATTTTTCTTTTCAAACTCTTCTAGTTTGATTTGCAAATCACTAATTTTACTTTCAAAATCATTGTTGGTTTTGGATATGAGCTTATTTTCATTTTTCAATTTTGAAACATCATTTTTGTATTTTAAAAACAATTTCTCATAATCCGAAGCCAACCCATTATATTCCTCTAATAACTCATCATAAGATAAATCATCTAATTCAAATGAGTTAGAGGTTACCTTAGAATTTTCCCCGAATGCCATCAAGCACAAGTTTGCTACTTCTTGTTCCTCTTCATCATAACCCTCTTCATCGCTCCATGTAACCACATGAGCCTTGTGCTTATTCTTTTATTGGCCCTTTCTTTTCAATTATGGGCAATCATATTTGACATGCCCCGACTTTTTGCATTCATAGCAAATGATAGGGTCCTTCTCTTTTGGTTCATTTTTTATACCTTCATTTCGTTTGAATTTTCTTCCTCGATAAGGTCTCATCATTTTTCTGAACCATTTGGCAAACAATGTCATTTCCTCGTCATAGTCATCTTCATCTGAATCACTCTCATCTTTTGTGGATTTGATAGTAACTCCAATGTTTTTCTTCTTTTCCTTCTCCTTTGGTGTCTCATCAATCTTATCGAGGTCCACCTCATCTTCAAGCATCATTTCATGAGTGAGGAGGGAACCAATTAGCTCTTCAAGAGTTAAGGATTTTAGGTTCTTAGCCTCGATAATTGACGTCTTCTTGGATTGCCATGATTTTGGAAGTGAGTAAACTAACTTCCTCACAAGCTTTTCGTTTGGAATTATCTCTCAATATGATTTGAGACCATTGGCAATCGTTGAGAATCTATCCGTCATAGCTTTGATATCTTCATTTGGTTTCATCTTGAAATTTTCATAGTTATGTGTTAGAAGACTAATTTTAGATTCTTTTACCTCGTCGGTGCCTTCATGAGTGACTTGTAGTTTATCCCATATTTCTTTGGCGGTTGTCCAATATGAAACTCTTCCATATTCATCTGGTCCAAGAGCACAAAATATGATATGGATTGCTTTGGAATTGAGCTGGAACATTCTTGTCTCTCATTCACTCCACAATCTTAGATGAGTGGGAGGCTTGATATATTCGTCTTCTACAATATTCCATGCTCCCATGTCACTTGCTTAAATGAAATACATCATCATATTCTTCCAATAGGCATAGTTAGCTTCATTGAAGAAATGAGGCTTGTTGATGGGCATCGAATCGAGACCAGAGTCGACATTTGAAGTAGAGGTCATTGATGACTTGATAATCGATGTAACTCTTCCCGAATCAACTCAAGAGGCGATTAAACCTTCAAATGAGTGAGGCTATGATACCAATTATTGAGTTTAATCGATCGACGGAATCGGCCAAGAGGGGGTGAATTGGCAATTAAAATTTTGGTGGAAGCTTTTGCAGAAAATTGAAAGTAATTGCACATCGATTTAGAGTGGTTCGACTTTCTCAATCAAAGTCTACGTCCACTACCTTAGGTATCCACACTAAGAATTTTCCAACAAATTCACTAATTTTTTCTTTCTTTTGAGGCCAAAGAGATAGCCTTACAACTCCCTCAAGAATATACCCCAATTCTTGATAACACTCTTTCTCAAAGAGAATATTACAAATTTGCAAACTTACAAGGAAATCCTCACATGGTAGATTGTTTGCACAATTCTAGAAAAAAGAAGAGAACACTCAAATATGAATACAATTGAGTACAAGTAGTGTTCTTAAAAGCAAAATGAATATTGAATGAAAAATAGGCTTGAAATGTTCAAACTTGAGGTTTGATGCTTTCTCTTTGATTCTCTCTTGATTCTTGTTGATTGTTGTTTCTTGTTATTGATCAATGGCTTCTAAGCTTGTTTAAATACACCTTCAAATGATTCTGAATGTTGGGGATGCTTAGTGGAGTCAATAGAGTCGTTTAAGTGTGAAAACAATTAATTAAAGCAGTTGGGAGCGTCAGTGCATCGATGCATACCCATGGTGCATCGGTGCATCAGTGTAAAATTCAAATATTTTGACCGTTGGACCCTTAGTGCATCGGTGCACTAAGAGTGCATCGATGCATCAAGTGCATTTGATGTTTCAAAATAGCCAGAGTGCATCGATGCATGGCTGGTGCATCGATGCATCAAATGCATTCGATGTTTTCATAAAATCCTCAGTGCATCGATGCATGGTATGTGCATCGATGCATGAAATGCATTCGATGTTTAATTTAATTCATAGTGCATCAATGCATAGATTGATGCATCGGTGCATCACTTTGATAAATTGATTTTAGGCTTGATTTTGGTTCAAAATACTTTATGAAAATTGTTTAAAAAATAGTTTAAGTATAAAACACAATTTTACACATTTAGTAAGGGTTTGAATTTGAACTTGAAAGACTTGGAGTAATAATTTGATACTCGATTAATTAAATCGAATATACTTAGAAAATCATTTGTAAAATCTTAAAATTCATTTAAACTTAATTTGTTATATCGAAACACAAAAATGTTTTCAACACGTTCCAAGGTGTTGAAGACCGAAGGCTCTCCAGGTCGGATTAGTTCCGACCCTTTTCTCTCAGTTGGATCAGAGCAGGTTCCACGCCCGTTGTTTTTTAATTCCTTGTTCAAGCTTTAGTCTAAAAGATCTTCCCTCAAGGAATTAGATGTCGTTTCATTTCTTAGGGGGTTTTAGTTTTTATTTGTTTTGTTCTTTGTGCTCTTTGTGACTGTTGAGTTAGTTTCTTTTTTCAGCTCTTACTCGATGTTTTGGATTCTATGTTTGGTTCCAATAATACCCCTCTGATATTCATAGTAAAAAAATTATTAATTTTAATAGTATGTTATTTATGTATATATTTTTGTATTTATAAAACATAATAACATATTTAATAGTATAAGTGGAAGCTAAATGTTAAGATCTCTCACGATTAAGGATTAATATTTTCTTTTCGCACGTCTTATGAAAATTGACCAATTTAATATTACTTTTAAAAGGTGCTGTAAAAAATATTTTTAAAAGTAATTTTAAAAAGTGCATCTAAAATTTAACTATTTGAAATTAATGTTAAATAATAATTTTAAAAAGATAAAATATTCATTTTAAATATATTATAAATTAAATAATTATGAATTACAATATAATTTTATCCCAAAATGATTTTTCACCGTAAAAATTAGAAATTTGAGTTTTCGAGATTAGATTGAAAATCATTTTTTCAACAATAATTTTAAATCAACTTTTGAGCTTTTAATATTACCTATGTGGATAGAAAATCAATTTTACATTACCAGAAACATTCTTAAAACTGTAGGACAATAACGAGATTCTTTTACACTCGCCGTCTCTTCAAGTCATGAAATAACATTTTAAATTTATTGATTATGAAAATCGAAGAAAAATGTTGAAAAAAAGGTTGAAATCCAAATTAAAATTCAAAATAAAAAATATATGAGTGAAATCAAGTTTTACTTTATCCGTATGTGATATAGGCTTTTCATAGTTCCATGAGCCAATGCCATTAGCAGCGTATCTAAACATGAAGAGGAAAAATGGAAGGAATTCCCTCAACCAAGTAACTCCAACCCCCTTCCACAAGTTATTCCTATTAAGTTGCAAATATATAGTGAAGTAAATTCTCTACCTTCTTTACCATAAATGAAAGCTAATTAAATCCCGTCTCAATGCCAAGCTATATATTACCACAATGGCTAAACATTAAGACCACTTCTTACAATTTTCACCTTCATTTTTTGGTTTGGAAAGGAAAGGGTCAAGTTATTATCTTGAGCAAAGGAAAGGACAGGTTGAGCCGTGACCTAATTTTTAAAATACATTTTTATTATATAAATCAAATTTTTATTAAGCTAAGTAGACTCGATTTAGACTTATAAATCGTATACAATATAGATTTGTTAAAATTTAATTATCTGGACATTTTAAGAGATAATATTATCCCATCGGACCATACCATGCACCAAAAGTGTTTTAGTTACTGTTACGCAACATAATGCACCGACACATGCTTGAGGTATGGACTGCTGCTGCCTCAAATCTATTATTTATTTTTCTTCAATAATATGTTGCGAATATAAAATAGTATTTATTTAGAATATTTCTTAGTACTTAATAACGTGTACGTATCCTATAGATGTTACGTAGTTATTGGAGACATCGTTTTCTTGTATCACTGAAATCGATCAATATATTTAATTTGAAGAGATTATAAAAACGAGACCAGTCCCCAACTTCACCTTTAGGGAGGATCACAAACACTTCTTCAGCTCTTCTTCCTTTACCAAAGCTGCAACTCTACACCTTTTAATTTTTGGCTGATTTTTGCATAAAAAAAATCTGCTAAGAATTAAGAAGAAAAGAATGGAGAAGATGAGATGCTGTAGCAATGTCCTTGAGAGCTCCAAACCTTATGTTGCAATGATTTCACTGCAATTCGGGTACGCTGGCATGAATATCATCACCAAAGTTTCACTTAACCGAGGCATGAACCACTTCGTCCTCGTCGTCTACCGTCACGCTTTCGCAACTGCTGCCATAGCTCCCTTCGCTTTCATTTTCGAAAGGTTCAAATTCAACCACACGTGTATGTATGTATGTATGTATGTATGTATCAACTGAGATCTTTTTCATACAATATATGCTGAGTGGTACTATGTTTTTAACATATTTCAGGAGAGGGCAGCCAAAGATAACAGTCCCACTCTTTATGCAAATATTTATCCTGGCTCTTCTGGGGTTAGTTCTTTTCTACTTTTCATGCATAGATTTTGCTCTAGAGTCTTAAATTTATTCAATTTTCCTTTTCATAAAACAACAGGCCTGTGATTGACCAGAACTTCTACTATGCTGGGCTGAAATATACATCTGCAACTTTCTCCTGTGCTAAGAGCAATGTGCTTCCTGCAATGACGTTTATCATGGCTGTCATCTGCCGGTACATACATGCTATTTTTTTGTTTTTTGTTTTTGTCAAGAACAGATTTGGTTAAGGACCGAGTAGACTGATTGTTGTCTGGTTTTGTAATGAAAACATATACACAGGATGGAGAAGATTGATGTAAAGAAAGTGAGATGTCAAGCAAAGATGTTGGGGACAACGGTGACAGTGGTCGGAGCAATGCTTATGACGTTGTACAAAGGACCCATTGTTGATCTGTTCTGGAGCAAGAATTATGTTCATACTAGCCAAAATCAATCTTATGTTACTCATACTACTGACAGAGATTGGGTCAAAGGCTCCATTCTCCTTCTCATTGCCACCTTTGCTTGGGCTTCCCTATTCGTTTTGCAGGTATTATATTAATCAAGCACCAAATTTACTTAACTTTTTTCTGAATTTGATTCATTGTTCTGGTGACTTATTTCGCAAGGCAAAAGCATTGAAGACATACAAGGATCATCAGCTTTCTCTAACATCACTGGTGTGCTTTGTGGGAACTGTACAAGCAACTGCAGTGACATTTGTGATGGAACACAAGGCCTCTGTTTGGCAAATCGGTTGGGACATGAACCTCCTTGCTGCTGCCTATGCTGTAATAAAATCATCTCCCCTCTATTATTATGTTGCATGTGCTATATATATTAATTAAATTTGATTTTTTTTTTTCAGGGGATTGTGACATCAAGCATATCATACTATGTTCAAGGGATGGTAATAAAGAAAAGGGGCCCAGTGTTTGCCACTGCTTTCAGCCCTCTGATGATGATCATAGTTGCAATCATGGGGTCGTTCATCCTGGCTGAGAAGATTTTCCTTGGAGGGTAAATTTTTATTTTTTAACTTCTCCATTACATCATTTCATTCACTGACAATAAAGTAGTAATATTTTTTTCTTTTGGGTTGGTGAATTGTAGTGTGATGGGTTCCATATTGATAGTAATAGGGCTGTACTCAGTGTTATGGGGAAAGCACAAGGAAGAAGATGAGAGGGCAGAAGCAATTGAAGCTAATAAAATTGTTTCTGTAGTGGCAATCACTATGCCAAAGCAAATGCCAGATCCCCTTAAAATATAATTCAAGTTTAATTCATAATTCAGTTTATCATCTTCACTTGCATGTTGTAGGTGGAAAACAAGATGAAATGATCACCTGGTTAATGAGTTGAATCACTAGTTCGAGAACCTTTTCTGCCTTGTATATTTTGGTGGGTTTTAGTTGAATAAAGTAATGCAATTTTCAAATGGTAAAAGATCTCTGTAAATTCATGGGCACGTTCCAAAATCTGAATAATTTATTAACCTAAAAATGGTTTTTTTTCTTGTTGATTTTTATCCTGTTCAATCAAGACCCAAATGCCATGACTAGAAATGTTGACGGGATGTCACGACTTAATATTTTGCTAAAGTAATGTGTTACCGAAAATATTAATATTTTTTATCATTTTTGGTCAAATACTTTTTAAAATATTATTTTTTATCAAAAATGTTAATATTTAACGCTACCTATAATATTTAATATTTTTGATAAAGTGTTACTTAAAATATTATTTTTTTTCTATTGTAAATATTAATATTAGGTGCTACCTATAATGTTATTTTTCTACCAAAAAGTAGGTAACGAAATTAAGATTTCTAATAAAAAAATAATATTTTAAATAATATTTTACCAAAATATTAAAAAATACTAATATTTTTAATAACTGATTTTTCTTAACTGTATATTAAAGTTATCTTACAACATAACTATACAGCAGGCAAATTGTTAGCCCAATTGAAGGGTCAATACTGAAATGTTCGTTTAGACCAAAAAAGACAAAAAGAAGAAAAAACCCAAATTATCGGGGGTATAAGTTCTCGCCATTTCCTTCTACTTGCTTGAGCTACTATTTCTTGGAATCTTACAGAGCTGTCCCTAAAAGAAAAAAAAATAAAGAATTTTTCTTTGCAATGGCGGACAAAGCGGTGATATTAGGACCAGGAAGTTCATGACTAACAGGCTTCTTTCCAGGAAACAATTCGTGAGTACCCTTTTCGTTTTTCTCGGTAACCAAACATAGATCAATGCTAATCGTTTCAGTGGTAGATTTTTAATCTCGTTTTCCTTATTAGTTTCTTCGTTTAGGGTTTAGTATCAGTTTTAGATTTGATTAAACAAGGAAATTACAGAAAAAGCAATAGCAAAATGTGGTGTTTTATTGTATTGCTAATAAGATGCTGAACTTAAAACTTTGATTAAAGCTTGCAAAATATTATTACAGTAAAATATGTTCTTTATTTTTCCCCCTTTTTTGTAGATCATTGATGTTTTACATCCTGGGAGACCCAATATTTCCTAGGTAAACCTATATTCTGTTTTCCAATAATGTCCGTCTTATCTGCTTGAATGGTTTGATTGCTTGTATGGACTGGATTTCTATTGTTTTGTTATCTTTAGGCAGAGTTGAAGGAGAAGCTTTCCCGAATGTATGAGGTGAAGGACCCCAATTCAATCTTTTTGTTCAAGTTTAGGACTCATTTTGGAGGCGGCAAATCTACCGGGTTCGGTTTGATTTACGATTCTGTCGAGAACGCGAATAAGTACGAGCCGAAGTACAGGCTGATCAGGGTAATTTTCCCATGAGTTTATTCTTCGTCTCTGATATCTAGTTTTGATTCTGTCCATAGTGTATTTGCATAATGCTTAATCTCTAAATGCATGTTCCCCATTGCATACCGTTTGCCTTCCTATTTGTAGTTATGAGTAGCATTCATGCCGGTGCATCTTTGAAACACTAATCACTTGTTGCTTTTTCCAGAACGGACTCGATAACAAGGTAGAGAAATCGAGGAAACAACTGAAGGAAAGGAAGAACAGGGCTAAGAAGATCCGTAGAGTAAAGAAGGCAAGTTTAACCCACTTTTTCACTTGAACCGCTGTTGATTTTTAAGAGCTTAAATGACTGGCAATGTTCTGATTATCCCACTTTTTTTGAGTGTTTCTAATAGACCAAGGCCAGTGAAGCATCAAAGAAGAAGCGAGAGCTAAAGGGAAGGTAAAGATTGTGCTTATCATAGAGCCAATGCTTTTCAACAGAGTTTTTTAGGTGTTGTTCAACACTTCAACCTTTATTTTTGGAAACTACATTTTGGTTGCTGCAGCTGTTGTCTGATATGTGTAGTTATATTATTACTATTATCCTAATTCCTTATTGAGGAGTTTTTTTGGGTTGAATTTAATGGTGAGATTAAAATTTAAATATTGGGTCTTAAATATCATGATTAAATTTTTAGATAATTCGTTTATTTAATTTTAAGCTGATAATTGGATTTCGAAACATTCTTTAGTCACTAAACAAATTTACGTGATTGACTGTCATTAAATTAATTCAATTTTAATCGAATAATAAATGTAAGATTAGATTTAGAATTTATAAAAAAAAATGAATAATAAACACTTAAACTATAAAAACTCTCCGGAGGTGTGACCTATAACATACGTTAGTGGCCGAAATAGAGCTAATGGTCTGTACATTTTTCACTTCTGGAGCTTATCTATTAAAGGGATCTATCATCTTTGATTATCATCCTTCGTTCAATAATGGCTCAATATTCGTAGTCAATTTGACCCACAGATCATGTTACTTTTTAATTAGCTAAATAAATAATTTCTCAATTTAAAATTAAAAAAAATCATGACATGAAATGTGATGCGATATTAAGTTCAAAGCTTAGCGAGTTAGTTGGCCCAATTACCCAATAAATTTGAATTCATATCCTTGCATATCATGAAATTTAATTATAAATTTTAAGTATTAAAGTTAAAATAAATTTAAAAACAGAACAAAATTTTATGTAATTTGCCTTTATTTTTTTAAAAAAAAATAGTAATACATCCAAAAAAATGGTAAATATTGAATTGATTAATCTGTTTGTGAATAAGATGCCTATACAAATTATTATTTTATATTTTAAGTTTATGGGTGTGAAAAGATAATATTAAAAAATATACATAATGATTTTGCTGTCGTGCCGAATCTATGTGATGGTAGAGGGATCATATAATAGTTTGTGCATGAATCGGCTTCTTGTCTTTTATCGCAATTAAGATGACCTGTCCCTTAAATGTCTTGATAATGTGACCCACCTCTACTTACTCTCATGTGTAATGGCCATGATAGTGATCAATTGAATCATTGCTCTGGATATAACCAATAAGTAAATTCCAAACCACTATTGTTCAATGTTCAATAGTATTTTTTATTAATCTAATATAAATACAAAACAATGTATGTTTAAAGATAGATCTTAACCATTTGATATTTAATATTTACGCTCCTGATATTCGTGGTGATCGAATCCGAGACCTAAAAAAAATAACAACTCCTTCATCGTTGAGGTCACTCGATTCGTGCTTTCAATGTTCAATTGTTAAATGAAGATTCACTTTATCAATCATATGTAAATTGTGTCCATTAAAATAAAGATTTCTTGTCTTGTAAATAATCTTTATAATAAGTGGTTAAAAACTTTCGGTTGATACATCTCTTTATTTTTAGGTTGTAAATTAAATATTCATTAGGATTTCCTCTCCCTCTCTTCTAGATAAAAATTGTTTAAAAGAAAAAAAATTATTGAGTTAAATTTTAAAATTAAATATAAATTTTGATGATATAATATAATAAATGAATTTTAATTTGACGTAATTATAAAATGAAATTTTGATTTTTTATTAGTATTTTTATTTTATTTACGTATATAATTATATCTTTATATTTATTGTATATCTAAACAATTATATTTAATATATTATTCTTTAAAATTATATTATAAATTTTGTCGTGTATTAAAATTTCAAAATTGTTTATTAATTTTCATGTATAATTAAATTAGATTAAAATTTTACTGTTATAATAATATAAAATAAAATTTAATCCTATTGTATTACATATTAAATTAAATTAGTTAAAAATGATAATTTTAACACATTTATATATTTTATCAATATAACTTTTAATATTTTGGTTAAATGTAAACTTTGATCTTTCATATTTTGATAAAATTGGTGTATTATAAAAAAAATAGAAAAATTAATGTAATTTTTTATAGAGACAAATTAATGTAATTTTAACAGAAATGATGACCCAATTGTTAAATTTTTATAATATTAACATGATAGCTCATGTAGTATATAATTTTATTTTTGACTTGACATTATTTTATTAACATAGAAACATGTTTCGTCATACAATATTTTAAAATAGTCTAATTTTTAAAAGTATATTTCTTCATAATTTTAAATTTGCCATAATTGTATAAATTATCACATATTCACATTAGCTCTATGAAAAAGTTAACTTCTTAATCACTTTTTTTAAAGTTACGCCAATTAGACTTTAAAAAATACCGAAAATAAAATTTAACTCATAAAAATAAAAATATATAAATAGTAAAAATTAAATTTCATTATATCAGAAAATTATAAATATTTCAAAATTTACCTCAAATAAAAATTAAGAGAAAATATGTAAAATGGATGAACCGGTGATACCCATTTGTCTTTTTGCTTATGATAATATTGCTGCCATTGGTGGCGCCACGTACAGTTGCCGTCTTTCATTATATTTTCCCTTAATTCAATCAAATTTTAACAGTTTTCTTCTCATCATGGAAGAAGCAAATGGTAAAGTTTTACTTTCTGGGTTTTTCTTTTATATTCTTTATATCTTATTGCGCCTTTTTCAGAACTAGAAGGCCAAAGGTTAATGATTCTTCTACTGTTTTTTTTAGTGTTGGAAGCCAAAGATTAATGTTTATTTTTCTGTTTTTGTTAGTTTTGGAAGCCAAAGATGGAACCATTGCTGTTGCCTCTGCTTTTCCTGCTCATCAAGAAGGTAATTTTTTTAAACTTTTCACATGGTTCTCTCTCTTTTTTTCCTTTTTTTTCCTGAAGGTGGAATGACATGTTCATGGTTTCATTCATTGAGTCTATTACTTAAAGCTAGTTTTAACATCGTTATATAGATAGCTACATAGTATATTCAAATATTTTTTTTAGTTTTTTCATATTTTGAGAGTAATATTTGAATAACCATCACCACAAAAATGTTCAATTTTTGTTTTCTTAACGTATTGTTGAAGCAGAAATACAGGATAAAGACCACAAATTCATAGAAGAAGCAATTGAAGAAGCATATAAAGGGGTTGAATGCAAAGACGGGTACCCATTTGGTGCGGTGATTGTCCGCAACGATGAAGTCGTCGTCAGTTGTCATAACATGGTTTGGATCAACACCGACCCTACCGCCCATGCTGAGGTTACTGCAATAAGAGAGGTTAGATCTCCACAACATATGAAAGTATAAACAAATTATGTTACCCAATTTTATCTCTCTTTTTATTATCCTCTTTTGTGTTTGTTTTAATATATGGAATGGAAGGCAAGCAAGAAGCTCAATAAGGTTGATCTCTCGGACTGTGAAATATATGCTTCCTGTGAGCCCTGTCCAATGTGCTTTGGTGCCATCCATCTGTCCAGACTCAAGGTCAAGTAACATAACCATATCACTTCCTAAACTATATCTTAAATATTGCTACTACATTTGATACGAATATGTGTTGGTCCATCTGTCCATAGATGTGTGTTAACGAAAGCTCTTGACTTTTTATTGTAATGTTGTGAAAGCAGAGGGTGGTTTATGGAGCGAAAGCAGAGGCAGCCGTGGCGATTGGATTTGATCCGTTCATTGCTGATGCATTGAGAGGTGGTACTGGGCTGCACCAGAAGGCTTGCATGGAGATCAAGAAAGTTGAAGGTTCAGGTGCGGAACAAGTCTTCCAGAAAACCAAGCACATGTTTACCCTGTATTAACCGGTGTTTATGAAAACAACTCCCCTTCCTTTGAATTCTGTCCAGTGTTTGAGAAGAATAAGGATGACTTTACCTTGTACCCATTCCTGTTGAGAGAATTATGAAAATCCCTTTGTCTACGTGTTATTTGATAGGTGAAACCTTTTTTCTTCGTAAATGGTTTTTTTAAAATTAATATTTAAATAAATGATACTATCAATGAATTTAATAATTATCCTATAAACCAACAACAAGTTGATCTGGTCGGATGAAGTATTAAATTTCTTAAATAAGGTCAAGAGTTTAAATCTTGATGTTTGCAAACTAGATTGGGAGGGTTATCCTCGTTTCTATAGTATTTGATTTGAATTAATCAATCAATATATTAGATTATTGTTGTCTTTATCTATATTTCTACCTTTTCTTTCTGGATTTTTTCTTTTTTATTCTTTATATCTTGATGCTCCTTTCTCAGAACTAGGAAGCCAAAAGTTAATGATTCTTTTGCCGTTTTTGTTAGTGTTGGAAGCCAAAGATTAATGTTTATTTTGATGTTTTTGTTAGTGTTGGAAGCCAAAGATTCTGCTTTTCCTCCTCAGGAAGGTCAATTTCGAATTTTTCACATTATCTTTTTTTTTTTACTGAAATTCGAAACATGTGGTTAATGCTTAAAAACTAAGGGTGTGTTTGTTTGTCGTAATTAGAATTACAGAATTGGTTTTCCTCGAATTTTCGTGTGTTTCGCGTAATTCGTTTTTCGAAAAATATTTTCTCGTGTTTGTTTCACGTAATTCGTTTTTTGAAAAATATTTTCCCATGTTTGTTTAACGTAATTGGTTTTCCGGAATGTAATTCATTTTCCTAGTAACAGAATTTCCTTTGTGTTTTCTGTAAAATGACTTACGGATTCATTTTCCGTAAGTTATTTTCCGAACTTTTCACTTCAAAGAATAAATACTCAAAATAATTTTATTTTATGAATTTAATATTAATAAAATATTTTAATATCATTTTCATCAAAATATTATTTATTTATTTATTAATATTTATAATAATATAATATAATATTTATAATATTATATAAATAATCAATTATATTATAATAATATAAGATATTATATTTTTATTTTAATAATATATATAATAAAATTTATATATTTAATAATGAATAATATTATTTATATATTTAAATTATATTTTAATAAAGATATTTAAAATATATTAATTAATATTTATAAAATATAATATAACACTATTACTTTAATAAATAATTAATATAATTTATAATATTTTATTTCACTAAAATATACAAAAATTATTATTTTTATATTAATAAAATTATAAAAATAATATTTAATAATAAATAAATTATTTTAATATTTTAAAATAATAATATTAAGTTTTATGATAAATAATATTATTTATTACATTTAATATTTGTAATAAATAATTTTTAAAAAACTCTTCAACTAGTGAAAAAAGGTTTAAATAACATCTTCCAAATGTAATTCATTTTCCAGAATTCAAATTTCAGTAATTATTTTTCAGTTCCAATAATTCAAATTCCAGTAATTCATTTTCCGAAAAACCAATTACAGCCAAACAAACATACCCTAAGAATAAAATATCCTGTTCATGTTTTCATTAATCGAGTCTTTTACTTGTAGTTTTACATCATTATGACAATAATGGACACGGCTTTATTTCTATAAATTAGGGGCAGAATTAAGATCAAACATTAAAAAATATAAAATATTAGACTGGGATTTTAGGAAAGTATGAGTTAATTTTAAGAAACCACTGCATAGCTTGTTATCTCGGAGTGAGTGTGTCATATATTTAGGGAAATTTGAGAATGCTTATGGAAGAGATTTTGTAAACAACTCATTTTCAATAAAAATTAAGTGATTATTGACTCAAATCAAGAAGTTAGAAAAATAATGTTTTTACGTTGAAAAATCTCGTTTGAAGAAGATTCATGTATGCTTGATTAACATGTTATGTATTTAGAATCTCAGTTAAGAATGAGGGTCAAATACGAATATAAAATAATATAAATATGATATTTTGTTATTTGGAACTGATTATCACACAAATATGTTCATTTTTGTACGATTAATGGATGGTTGTTATTTTAGGTGTCCGAGTTCGAGCACATCTTCTGTAGGAGTGTTTGAACATTTATTATCAAATAATTAATAATATTTCGAACAATTGTAATCACCTGGAGTAATAAAAAAAATTCAAATTTTCTTTTCTACTTTTTTTTTACATATTTGAAGCGGTTATGGAGAGTTGGAATCCAAAAATGAATTTGATATGTTAAGTTGTTGTCGCTGCTTTTGACATGTACCATACATCATTTTCAACGTGGATCTTCTCTCAGTAATCAAATAGTGTTACCCGATTTTATCCTATTTTGTGTTTGTTTTAATATATGGCAGGCATGCAAGAAGCTCAATAAGGTTGACCTCTCGGACCGTAAAATATATGCTTCCTGTGAGCTTTGTCTATTGTGCTTCGGTGTAGGAATGATAGGGGGACAATATTGAGGGTTTCGCACAGTAATTCTTGTGAGAATAGGAATAAGTTTAGTGGGTAGTGGGTGAGTGTGAATATAAAAAGTCATATTCGTTGTGAGTAGTGGGTAGGTGATAGATTTGAGACCTTGCCCACCCCACATTCCGGCGACTAACTACTCACCATATAAATTTTGATATAATTTTAGAGATTATTATGTAAATTTTAATATTTTATAGGACATAACTTGTAATTTAACCTAATGCATGTTAGGGTATAAATATTTTTAGAATTGAAGATGGTTATTTCTCCTATCTCAAATTGATGTGTAACCCCCTCAGACCGATACAGATAGCCCAATCCGATCCGGGGTGTCACATTAGGGCCACCGGAGCGACCCACTGTAAAAATGACGGAAAATTTAAAATTTTTATTAAAATATGTAACTTATAAAATGATTTATCAGTATGCAAAATAAAACAGATTTTCAGACTCGTATATAAATCAAAATACAATTACATGCCCCCTAATCACATGTACCATACTCTGCAATAGCGCCGGAAGAACTGTCTTACTTATTTTGATAGTTGTACTGGTATAATCTTTTAACCTGAAATGGTGAGTAATAGAGTGAGATTCGAAAAGCTCAGTAATACAGAACTACCAGATGATGCTATAGGACATACAGATAAATTGAAAGCCATAGTTTCCTTATTCAATCAGACGTATACAAATTTTCGGAATAATCTGAGGTTCCACTGGTAGTTCATCGAATAGAAGCCATGAATCTCAGTTCATAAGAAACCTTTCATACTATCACGTTTTCATGAGGTCGAATAGGATGCCTAGTGTGTTCCATCAGTACGATAAAACCATAATAGGTACACTAATCAAATGATAGTACAGTAAAATCCCATAAACCATATTGTAGTGGAGCTTTTTAAACTCGTATTTTAAAACCATCTTACAAAGAGTTAACCTAAAGGAGCATCTTAGGGCCTGAGAGCCTACCCAAGATAGATTTTGGGGTCGTAGGGCCTACCTAAGAATACATCTTAGGGCCGCAGGGCCTACCCGAGAATGATCTCAGGGCCGCAGAGCCTACCTAAGAGTCACATTAGGTCCATAAGAAATTTTCAGCTTTATCAGAGATGTATCTCCAGTCTACCCATATAATATCTGAATAAAACAGTTCCATAAGTAACCAGTATATTTCATGGTCCATAAATCAATAACAATTCATAGTTTTCGATGAAAACCGTAACCAGATATCACATACCATATTGCCATGGTTCATAAACCAGTAAATCAATAATTTTGTTAAAACTCATTTCAAAACATATAAAACAATCATGTAGTACATATGGAACACACTAGAGTATCCAAGTATTTTTCAGAGGCATTTTATAGTTATCAGTATGGATAACATGAAGCTTGTGCAATTTGATCGGATTACAGGAACAAGGTTCCCTTGGAGAGGATTGATTACTAACCGATCTAATCGGACACTTAAAGTTGATACTTAGAATCCCACTATGTTTTCATGTGCATCAGGAAAGTGTTCAAGAATACCTGGAGTGATTTGAGTTGATAAAGAAGAAATGAAGATTCAGGACATTTACCAATTATGATAATCGATCAAATTATCAAACAACTCTAGAACTGATGCTTGTCGACTGCTCAATTCATTGTCCTTTTATAGCATTAACTCTTTAATACCAAAATGTATATACATAGATCATCTCTAGAATCATCGCTGAATATATCCTCCAATAGTCTCTATTTCATTTCCACGTTTCAACGGTATCAAGAAATGTTGATGTATTTGATTTGTGGTTCGTTACCATAATAACAATACATTATGCAAGTTCATTAGTGTTCCAAACTCATCCAAATCACTTATTTAATCCTTAGTCATAAAGATTACTTAATTCCTTTAGCAGTCAAGTTATCTCGGTTACTTCAGAGTTTTCCAAAGTAATTCGGGTGTTTCTAAATTTCGAATACATATAGTATTTCCGTTCAGTTCAATATGGTCTTCGTAGTAAATTTGTCTAACGAAAATCCACTTCTTAGTATCGAATGCATTATAGAGTTGAGTTGAGCTGAGTAATTACCGAATTATCATCAATCCAAACTTGAGAAGACGAACACACATTCAAGTGATATCTATGTTATTCAAGTACTGATATAGTATTATCGTTGATCGACCCGCATAAGGTGTTTTCCATAACTTTTGAAGGCAATACCACATCCATACTTATTTGAATTCCTTAATGAATCCAAAACATTTACTTATTATTGGCCATAAGGGTATTTTGGTCCTTTCGGTGCTCAATGTTTTTCCATTCATTTCAAAGCTTGAGGATATGCATTCATTCCCAGGCTTGGTGATATTCTTGATTCATTTCCATTAAAGGGGTATTTTGGTCATTTTATTGATCCAACGCATTTCAATCATTTTCTTCCATCCAATCTTATTATTTAATTCAAACGTATCATCTTTTCCAGACCTTTTGAACAATTCTGACAAAAGAGCACCCTCGCTAATTTATTCTTAACCCGGACATTTTCAGGTTAATTGCCTTATCAGAAGTTACACACAGGTTATTAGGAAATTTTTCTAT